TGTGGGTTTTTTCCGCTCAAAAAGTATTATTATTTTATTACGCTTTATTTAGTAGCAAATATATATTAGTTTGATTAATAAAAATACGCTTTGATTTATTATTAATTAGTTTTTCACAAGTTTTCTCGTTAAATCGTATTTTTCGAAAAAGATCTTTTCGAAAAAGATACATGCATTAGCATGTTTCTTTATTTATCGACAGGATTTAATGTAATGTTCCCGGGGACGTTACATTTGGCTCGAGCCGACCGCTAGACGTAGGAAAGGACAAAGAGCGAACGAGAGAGGCTATTTAAAATTAAATTTTTAGAAAAGTCCAACGAGTAATGGTTTTTTGGTTCCATACAAAATCGCACCTCAATACACTCGAAAAAACAAACAATATTACTACATAAACAAATGTACAAATTATGCCGTGTTTGGTCTTATTTTGATCAGGAGAATCTCACAATTACATTGGTAAAAGTAATATTTAGCAAAACCAAAAAATAAAAAAGTTTTACTGTTGCATTAGTGTTGTCATATCGATACGCCGGTTCGGACTACATTGTATACGCTGCTCGCTCGTCAAGTGTCAAAATTCAAGGGGGATCCCCCTAAGTGGTGGGGATAGTAACGTTGCAGTTATCCAGTCCATCGTTTGTCATCAGAATCACCCTACGAGGAATGTCAAGAGGAGGAAAACTACTGGTCGACACTGGAGCAGGAACAAACTTAATTAAAAAATCTTTTGCCGAAACAGTCCGATTAATCAAACCCAGACACATCATCCTAGGTAGAGACAAACATACGATCAACCAATCCGCTATCTTAAGTATTCATAACGTAGATCATGAGTTTCTTGTTATCCCCGATAATTTCCCCCTCATTGAAGATGGACTAATAGGGTTACCTTTCTTACAGAAATACGAATATAAAATAACAAATGATAAATTGACACTTAACAATATTCCCATAAACTTAAATTTTTCAGAAAACATCGAGACACTTACACCAGGGAACTATACGATAAAAATCTGCAACATCAACAATGAACCTACTACAGTTTGCTTCTTCAATACTGGTGAGCAAGAAATCTATACAGTTAATAAAATTGAAAACGAAAATAATTTAGAACGAATCCATGAAATTGCAAAAAGGTTACGCCTTGACCATATAGATCCTCAATATAGAGAACCCATTTCAAAAATTGTTAGCATATATCAGGACATATTCTCACTAGATACCGAAGACCTTCCTTGTTCACCTATCACTAAACATGAAATCATCCTAAAAACCAATAAACCCATAAACATAAAATCCTATAAACCCCCAGAATGTCATAAACAAGAGATACAGAGGCAGGTTAATGAAATGTTACAAAAAGGTATAATAGAACATTCAGATTCTCCATATAATGCACCGGTTTGGGTAGTACCAAAGAAAATAGACGCTTCAGGAAAACGAAAGTGGAGAATAGTAATAGACTTTAGGAAACTTAACGAACAGACCGATCAAGACGCATATCCATTACCTGATACTGAAGACATAATATTACATTTAGGCAACGCAAAGTTCTTTTCCGCATTGGATCTTTCATCGGGATTTCATCAAATACCGATGGAAGAAACAAGCAAAAAATACACTGCTTTTTCAACCCCTGAAGGACACTTTCAATACAGACGCATGCCCTTTGGATTAAAAAATGCACCTGCAACCTTTCAAAGAATGATGGATACAGCCTTACGCGGACTAATAGGAAAATATTGTTTTGTATATTTAGATGATATAATAATATTCGGACAGACTATACAGGAACATAATCAAAATTTAGCTACGGTATTCCAGAGGATTAGAGAAAAAGGCCTGAAATTGCAAGTAGACAAATGTGAATTTTTGAAACCAGAGTTAGAATATTTAGGACACATAGTCACAAAAGACGGAATCAAACCTAACCCCAAAAAAATAGAATCAATTAAAAACTTTAAAAGACCCCAAACACCTACTCAAATAAAATCATTTCTCGGGCTAGTAGGATATTATCGAAAATTTATTAAAAACTTTTCAAAATTAGCTAAACCACTTACGGACTTAATAAAAAAAGACACTGAATTTCACTGGACTGACAAACAAGAGGACAGTTTCAATACACTCAAAAACAAATTAACCCATGAACCTATATTAGCATATCCAGATTTTAACAAGACCTTCACATTAACCACTGACGCTTCAAACGAAGGATTAGGCGGTGTACTTTCGCAAGATGGAAAACCTTGTAATTTCATTTCGAGAACCTTAAATTCAGCGGAGAAAAATTACTCAACTACTGAAAAAGAATTGTTAGCAATAGTTTGGGCAATTAAAAGATTAAGACAATATTTACTAGGACGAAAATTCATAATTCAAACTGACCACCAAGCATTAAAATGGTTACATAATATAAAAGACCCATCTTCACGACTTATGCGTTGGAGATTAAGGTTAGAAGAATATGAGTACGAAATAGAGTATAAAAAGGGAAAAGACAATGTAGTAGCAGACGCACTTTCAAGATTACATCCCACTAAACCAATAATCACTTCTGACATTAAAATCTTACCAGACGGTAGTATGATAGAAACAATACCTCAAGAACTTATATCTTCCCCAGAACATGAATTAGGCGACTTAAACACCTTCGATAACATTGACAAAAGCCTAACACGACAACACCCGGACGATGAAAAATTTGTAAAAGAATACTACTCTTGGAAAAATTCAAAAGGAAACATAAATTTCAAAACAGTACCTAACCGAAGTAACTTCACACAAGTAAATAAAGATATGTTAGGATCTTTTGACATATTCAGGTGGTTACATAACTTAAAACATTTATTAGAATTAGAAGATTCAGACAAATTAAGAATAGGAATTTGCGATCCATTATTCACAAATACAGAAAAGTTAGAATTAAAACTAATGATCAAATTCTTATGTGAAAAGGAACACCCGGAGAAGAAAATAATCTTAGCAGAAAATGAAATTAGGGAATACACTGAACAGGAAAGAAATGACATAATTAGGGAAGCACACAATGGAAACACTAGTATGCACTTAGGCGAAAATAAAACTAGAGAGAGAATTAGGGAAAACCACTATTGGAGTAGTATAGATAGAGATGTAGAAAACTTTATAAAAACCTGTCCAATCTGTCAAAAATATAAATTAACACGAATTAGACCTAAAGAAAATGCAGTAATAACAGATACCCCTTTAGAACCAAACGAGAAAATAGCTATGGATATAATAGGCCCTTTTCCTAGAACTCGACAAGGAAACATTTTCATATTGTCAATTCAGGACATGCTAACCAAATACCTCATCCTTATTCCTTTAAAAAACCAAAGAGCCGAATCTATCATTAATAACCTGCTAGAGCACTATATTTATATATTCTCTTCCCCGAAACATATCCTAACGGA